TTCTGACTCTTCACTCTATTTTCCATTAACAGTCTTTCTCTGGGATCTCTGGACTCAGTTTGGTATTTGGTATTCGGTGTCCCATGTTTTTTATCTAATTGCTCTCCATTAAGGACATGGATCATAGGGCCAGCCCGTGGCTCACTTGGGAGAGTGTGGTGCTGACAACACCAAGTCAAGGGTTAAGATCCCCTTACCGGTCATCTTTAAAAAAAAAAGAACATGGATCATGTATTATTATGATGAAAAAAGAAATCATTGTGGTCAGACAAGACTCAAGACTCAGCTCCCCCACATTTACCAGCTGTATAACCTTGGGTATATTATTTAATCTCCACAAGCCTCAGTTTTATCACCAGTCAAATTGGGATAATACCTATCTTGCATGCTGTGAAAACTTGTAAAGATTTATAATCTTCATAAAGTGTCTGCTTCATGCCTGGCATTGACAAGCTTGTTGTTAGTGTTGCTGTTATTACTGGTTTAGATTTAACGTACTGGTTCATCTCTTCTCCCATCAAAACTTGGATAGGAAGTACTCAGTTTCCTTGGGTTCAGGTTTCAGGACACACTGGATTTCAAGTCTCTCCCTGAGGTCTCAGGACCCTCCTCAAGACCCTCCCCTAGAAGAGAGTCACTGTTGATGGTTAGACCTATTTTGGGCAGCAAAGGGAGGGAAATTGAGACCTCAGGAGGCTGATTTATGCAAATCCAGTGGCGAGGTATGCTCAGTAAAAAGGGGTTATAATAACCCTAATAGCAGAACATGCTCAGCGAAGTGGAATTTATCTTCATTAGACAGCATGAATACGTATTAGATAGCAAGACTATAAAAGTTGAATCCCAGCGGAGAGCGAGGGTGTTGCTCACTTTCCTGGGACCAGCCTGCACTTCACTGGCTGAGGTGTGTGTACTGTCTTTTATATCAAACTTACTTTCAGCAAGGGGCTGCTTATTCTCTTGAGTCAGCCTGCACTTTGTGCTAAACCTTAAGTATGTATTTCTTACTTTTGTATTAAACTTGGTGTGGGCCCTGCTCAGTCTCTGGACTTAGGCTGCACTGTCTCTGTGAAATCTGTCTCTCTTATTCATTACATTAAACCTGTTCTCACTTTCTGCTGTGATCTGCCCTTGAATTCTTTCCTGTGGTGGAGTCAACGAACTGGTAAGAGGATGGAGTGGGTTGAGGCTGGCCATCAGGCCTCCCAGACCCTTCTCCTCTGGCAGCATAATCACACTACCCTACCCAATTCTGGAGGGCAGATACTGGTTCAGAATTTGAGACTGTCTACCCTGTAGCCCATGGTTCCCAGCCCCCCTATTCCCCAACTCCTCTCCAAACACCTCTTACATGCATCCATCTCAGTGGGACCCTTCCCCGAGTCTCATAGTTCCCTGCATCCCAGTTCCTGATAAGAATGTACTCAATGTAGGTGGATATTGCCACAGAGGTTAGTTCTGATACTTAGCTGCATGGATGAGCCACAGAGGGGCAGTAAGCCCAAGAGTTCCATGCCTGCCTTAAGCAAGCCACCCAAACAGATTACAGCCTTCCACAAAGACAACCAGAGAACACCAAGTTTACCCATTCACAAGGAGGGACTAAAGAGGGGACTGTTCTGCGGCCCAAGGTCCCCACCCTAAGAGCCCACACCAGGCTCTGCACAAAAGCAACATCCAATCTGGCTAGTGTTTACAGCCCTAGTTCCATGAAGGACCTCCCACTTCATCAGTTCTGCACCTCACTGGTTAACCCAGTCCCAATGCACCTGGCTGTGCTTTGCTTCTCTTCCTACCATCCTTGCCTTATCCCTTTGATTTGATGCCATTCTCTCCTTGGCTTTGATGTCTTCCCAGCTATGTTTAGCCCCTGCTTTTGGTTTAATGTACTCATATTTTATCATGGTTAATCCCTCCAAATTTATAGGATTTATAATCCTCACACATTTCAACTCCACACTGATTACCTCTGCCTATATAGATTCCATCTCCCATACCCAAATCTGGTCTCTTCTAGCCCCATGGATGAGACCAGGAAAAGTAGAAGTCTTTGACATAAGTGTCATCTCTTTGGATAATAGTGTCATTGGCTCATATTCTCGATCTAAAGCAAAACATTTGATGCAGGGGCCCTTACTCTGTTATCTGAAAAATAGCCATTGTTGCTATAGTTTGAATATGCCCCCCAAAGTTCACATGTTAGAAATTTAATCCTAATGCAACAGTGTTAAGGGGTGGAATCTTAAAGAGGTGATTACTTCACAAGGGCTTTGTCTTCATGAATGGATTAATGCCATTATCATGGGAGTGGGTTCCTGATAAAGTTAGTTTGGCCCTCTCTTGCTCTCTTGCATTCTCTTACCTTTCTGCCATGTACCATGGGATGATGCAGTATGAAGGCACTTCCCAGATGCCGGCCCTTGATATTGGACTTCCCAGCCTCCTGAACTGTGAGAAATTTCTTTTCTTTATAAATTACCCAGACTGTGGTATTCTGTTATAGCAATGCAAAACAGACTAAGACAGTCCTCCTCCAGTAGACCCTAGTGGGTTTTATCTGTTTGGACATCATTTATGACTGTGCGAAAAGTGGTGACTAACTTACCTTGAAATCAGTATCTTCTGTCTCCAAAGAATAATGATTAAGATCATAGTAATTAAGAGCCTGAACTCTGAAGCCAGAAATTTGGGTTTAAATCCTGCCTCTGCAACTTACTACTATATTTTGAACTTGGTTCTTTTTTTGTTGTTTTTTGGGGGAGTGGGGGGGAGGGGTTACTACTTAGATTAACAGGAAAATTTAAGCATCTTGATAATATCTAGCTGGAAATATCAGAATTATTCACTAAGTTGTGGATACTGGCCTCTGCCCTGATTCCTCTTCTTCTGTTTCCCCAGATCCTCCACTTTGCATTCTTGAATCCCTTTGTGTATACATACATGGGCGGGGGAAGCTGGCCAGTTTGAGGATCTGAACCCTTGACCTTGGTTTTACCACACCACACTCTAACCAAGTGAGCCGACTGGCCACCTCTCTTATATATTGACTCAACTGCATTCTTTATCTGTCATGTTGTCTGGCACTGTGATACGCTTCAGAGATACAAAGATAACAAATCACAGACTCTACCTTTAAGGGTAGATAAATAAACATAGGGGACAGAGACTTACAAACAAATCCATTCATCACAATGTTAAAGGAGCTGAGACAGAGAGCTTTCCAGGGAACACTGGTGCATGAGGGAGGGCATGGTGAGTGCTGCCTGAGGAATGAAGTGAAGGAGGGTGTCAAGGAGTAAGGAAAGCTTTTGTGGAAAAGGTTGATGCTTGAGCTGAATTGTGAAGTTGTCCTGATTCTTACTTGGGCAATCTAAGACAAAGTCCCCACAAATAGGCTCAGAAATGTTAGCCATGTCTTCAGTTATAGTGGCTTAGTCCCAATGGTTGAGGTTTCCACACTGCCTCCCAGATCTCTTTGTTGCAATCAGTTAAGGAAGCTGCTGTTATTAGCAATGACTCCTGGACCCGAAGTTACAGCTCTCTGGTCTCTGTCCCCATTCCTTTCCTGTTCCCCATGAAAGGCTCAGTCTTTAGTATTAGGCTGTAGTCTTAAGCATATATAGCACCCAGTTCCTTCCCCAAGACTTAAGCTCTTCTTTGAACTCTAGCCCCATGACCAGAATCCCTGCTGCTTTATCTTGCCTCTGCCAGCCTTCTCCTCTGGGATCTGGGCCTTGTTTTATATCTCAGCTGGGGTCCCGCCATCAAAATGGAGAATGATCTCCAGAATGACAACCCATCTACCTCGGCCTGCCTGAATTCCCCACATCTGGGGTCTCCACTTAACTGAAAAACCCAGCTTTAACCATGCCTGGATTGTGGCTAACTTGTGACAAAGACTCTCTCTTTGACCAAAGTTTAGTCAGGCTCCTCTGAGCCCTCTTCTTGACTAGGCCTCTACCTTGGCCCCATCCTGTCTTTGGCCTGCCCAGCCCAGTTTTAGCAAGAATCCCAATGAGGTTAGTGAGAGTCTCCCCATCCTTGATATCTGATCATCCCTGATATCTGACCAAGTTCCTCACCCTCCAACTTTGTTATATAAGACCTTGGCCTGTCTTTAGCAAGAATCTTAGTAGGCCAATTTAGCAGGAATCCCCCTATTCTTGATGTCTCCTTTTAGTAATTTTCTATCTGCTAGCCCCCACAATCCTGCTCCTTGGCTATAAATTTGCACTTGTCCTTGTTGTATTCAGAGTTGAGCTCAATTTATCTCCCCTATTGCAACAGCATTGACCTCTATGCAATAGTCTTGGATAAAGTCTTCCTTCCCATTTTAACAAGCGTCAGAATAATTCTCTCTTTAACACTTGCCATGCCCTTTGGACAGCAACCATGGGCAGCCCAGGGCCCAGCTGCCCTTCTGGGTCATGCTGCCTCCCCTCCCTGATCAGCTCTAGGAATCAGGTCTTATTTCAGGCTCTCAAGCTCCTCTTCCTTACCAACTCCTACCAACATGTGTAGCAATATAACTCCGGTAGAGTCACCCAAAAATATAAACCTAGACAGGATAGGCCAATTCTATTCCAACCAACTTCACCCAGTTGACTCAGTCAGTCAGGTAATCAAAAGATACGAATAAATTTAAATGGTTTCCCAACATAAATAATATATTTTCAAAGAGCTTTCTTATTTGTATTACAGATATAAACAAAATACATACACTCAAGGCATAAAATATCTGTCTTGTGCTCTTTTGAATAAAAAAATCATAGTGAATGCAGATCTTTGGTGTTCCAATGGTGCTATAAACAAATTAACTGGCCTTTTTTTTTTTTTAACACAAAATTGTCTGAAATTTTACCTCTTGGGTTCCAAGTGTGGTTTTGTTGCTAGCAGAGAGACTTTATTGTAAAAGTCTCCTCACCCAGAGCTCTGGTGATTTTTCATGTTTTATTAATCTCTTTCACTTGGCTTGAAGTAAGGTAAGGACTTTATAAAATTCAAAATGTACTGAATTTTGTGTTAATGTCAGGTATGGAATTTTCCTCTTGAGTATCTCCCTTCGTTAGGGTTGTTACTGAAATGTTCTGTAGGAAATGGCGTGCCAACCATTCATTGGTTCTCATGGCTTTGCAGCGGAGGCAGGGCCTTTCCCTGACATGATGATTTCCCAGATTCCTTTGCCTCTGATCTGTTTTTCTCCTCTTAATACTTGCTGATAATGGGTGGTGTTCACTTTCACTCTCCTTCCATGAGGAGGCTCCCGAGTTAGATTCTTCACTGTCACACTCAGTAGTATCACTGTCGTGTTGTATCCGATTCACCTGGTTCAATTGAGAATGACACCTAGATCGTCTTTGTTCCAGACAGGCATTGACCAAAGCCACTTCTGAGTCTGTTACAGGGGTAAGTTGGCTCTGCTTTGGTTTCTTCATCATTTGTGAAGAGTCCCAGGCATCATCATTGCTTTGCCATTTATAGGAAGTATCTTTGCTTGCTAATAACCAAAAAACAAATTAACAATTTAGGCACATTGATGGTTGCTATAACTTCACATTGCCTAAGAAAGCCCATGGCACATGTGGGCTCATTATTAGTGATCAATGGTCAAGCCACCCCTTTTCCCTAGTCATTCGCAAGTGTTGGCAGCTAACTGCATTTTCTAGTAGCATACCCCATGTCCTACAGACCGGAGGGGTCAGATGCTTGGCATACCACTTTTGATGTTTTACAGACCCCAAATATAAGATCAAGACACTTTTTTTCCTTTGCTTTGAAGTTTTAAAGATTCGAGTGTGTATATGAATGTGATTTGGGTAGCAGGAACTGAAAAGCATCTTCTCCTTATGCAGTGGTGTGCTGGAGTTGACTTGCACCAGCTTATAAGAGCTGGATAAACTTTCAGGAATGCGATGAGATGGTTAAACACAGCCATTATTAAAAATTAAATCAAGCTGGTTCAAAGGTAATGAGTTATCTCAATTGACTGTTCATGGTCAGTTACAGACTGAACTCATTCTACTCTTCTCCCCTTTCTCACTACTGCACTTGACTAGTCTTAAAAAAAAATAAATTACACAAACTTACAATGAGATCAATTTACTAAGAATAAAGGTAACAAGTACTTGAAACCCATCACTTCCTAATTATCTTACTACACATATGCTGTTAACATTATTTACGTCTATTGTATCTGGATGTCGGCAACACTATGTGAGGGTGTGCTCCTGTGCATCTCTTCCCAACTCCTTGTTCACTGGTACCATGTCAGTAGCTTGAAACCAGCTTTGGTGGGAGTATTTATACCATGGAAATAAGCAAACATTACACATCAGGGCTTGATGTATGTTGGTGTTGATTGCCTAGGCTTAGGAAAGTGATGGAGAATATATTAGTAATGTAGATTACATTTTATGGTCATGCCTGTAGCTACCACATTGTGAATAGCACCAAAAATGAGAAAATATTCTTCCATTATTCTAAAACTAATCTCTGTTTCAGCAAAGAAGTTCACTCATATCATTGACAACCAAGTTAAGTTCCAGCATACATCTTCTGTTTCACTTTCATCTACTCCTTAACATAAAGGAAAATAACATTTATGCTGGAACTACACTTGTTCATCAACTATAGCCAGGGATTGGCTAAGGATGCAAGGGTCTGCCAAAAATCAAGGAGAGCATTTTGTGAGAATCAGTTGTCTATATGGAATTTACCATGAAGAGTATTGTATATTTTATTATTTATGAATTTTGTGATATACATCCTTTACATCAGTAAAAATTTTAACAAACATATATATACACACATATATACACATTTTTTGGAGAGCCAGTTGTTAGACATTTACCAGCACATCACTGCTTATAGGTTATCAAAAAAAAGTCATATACAGCTCATAATCCTGTCATGGCACTAACAATGAAGGTGTGTGAAGGGCAAACCATGTGAAGGGAGAGTACTGAGGAATAAAAATAGAGCTTGAGCTCTACCTACCAGTAATTCATAGCTTCTAGTGACTGTGCTGAAGCCACTAAGCTGTCCCGCATTAGGGAACAGAAAAGCAAGGAGCTCACCCAGTGGGCCTTCACTGGTGTGGAGAGAAGCCTTACAACACTCTCGGCTGTTCACCTCTGCTGTTTGCCTTCCACACTTAGCTCATATTTTTCTCATCATAGCCCAATAATACCAAATGTGCATTGGCTCTCACCTTTACTTACTGAAGCACTTGCCCCACTGTCTTCATCCTTTTTATTCTTAGACATCTGTTTCAGAAATATAGATTAGTAAGAGTTATTTCAGTTAGTTGTTTTTCACTATTTACTTGTTAAAAAACAGTATTGCCGGGCCGAGCCCGTGGCGCGCTCGGGAGAGTGCAACGCTGGGAGCACAGGAGCGCTCCCGCCGCGGGTTCGGATCCTATATAGGGATGACCGGTGCACTCACAGCGCTCACTGGCTGAGCACGGTGCGGCCAGTCTCAAGAAGGACAAACAAACAAACAACAAAAAAACCAGTATTGCCCAAGGCCCTTTGACAAAAAGAGCAGTTAAATAAGTACTTATTGAGTCCCTGTTATAGTGATCCTATAGTAGGATCGTGCTTTGATAGCAGAATCTACCAAAATGTTTTGAATCAAGCAAAATAAAACAAAGAATTTCAACAAAGATTGATAAGGAGCTATAGGTCATAAAGTTTTCCTGTACCTATTTACATTACAGAGAAATATTTTAAAACATATTTGATAGTACTCGGATTAGTTTCAAATTAGTTTTTTAAGGACACTTGACCAGGTCACATTATTGATAGTTCTTTAAGATGTCTAATAAGAGACATTTACATACACAAATATCTTTACCTGAATTCATGAATTTAATAATTCTTTAATCCTTCAGAACATTTCCTCCAAAATGCAACCATAACATATTGTCTGTGAATATACCAGAATAAATGGATTTCTCTGAACGGTTCCAATTTCAAATATTCTGCACCAATACTCCACAAATATATTTGTCTCATTTTTCAGATTAGTGTCTCACTTTCTAAATGGTTTTTACCAAAAGATACAAATATAAAGCAAGTCTTTCAGAATGTATCAAAAACTTTAGAAATATTAACACCTTTGACACACAATTCTTCTGGGAATCTATCACCAGGAAATAACCCCCCAAAGAGAGAAAGTTTTGTGCACAGAAATATTTATTACACTGTAACTAGGATAATATAAAATTCAAAATTCAAAAGTAGGTAATGGTTAAGTAAATCGTGGCATAATCATACCATACATAGTAGTAAATATTATGACAAAAGTATGTAATAACATGAAGAAATAAGTATGTTACAATATTGGGTTAAAAATCAAGACAGATTTGTACATGCAGTGTAATCACAAGTTGGCTGAAAATATGAAAAGAAGAAAGACTTTAAGGAATGTATACAAGTGGTAGCAATGATTGGCTTTATGTGGTGAAACAGTAATTTTTTTCCTTCTAATCTTTTCAAATTGTCTGCAGTTAGAAAAAAATGAATTTATGTAGAAAGCCAAACTTCCTTTGGGTTGAAAAGTGCCATATTTGGGTATTTGTACCTCCACTCTAAGATCCTTGACCCATTCCTTTCTTAATATCTGATCTCTACAACAGCAGACAAGTATGAGGTACTTCTTTGCTTTTTGGGTTACCCCAGTCATTCCTGAAAACCTTGAGAGAGGAGTCTTCTTTTAGGATGCCTGTTTTAAAAAAAAAAATGCTTGGGCAGGGACCTTAAATAGTTTAAATTTAATATGTATGGAGAGGATTATTAAAATATTGGAAGTTTGTAAACCTAAAAGTTAATGGTAGTTGGTTATTTCTACATAATTTGGAGTGATTTTTATTTTATTTTGTCTACTTTCCCTTAATTTCCACATTTTCTATAAAGCATACTTTTGTAATGGAGGGTGGAAGGTGTTTAAAAACACTTATCAGGTTTATATCATTTATATCATTTCCACAGAAGGCTTCTACATCTGATGTCAAATCAAAATATAACCACAAAATCAAAGAAATATTTTGCATTAAGCTAAGTGGAATCATATGAACTGTGGTTACAAAAAGCATTTTATTGACTGTCTTTGTGTGTGACTTAGTGAGTGAAAACAGCAGCAGTGCCTGCCCTGAGGGGCAGGGTAGAAAATGTGGGCTGTGGCTGTGCCTTTCTGCCACTAACCAACTCTGTGATCTTACCAAACCACTTAATGTCTCCTAAGCTCAGTTTCCACATTTGCAAAATAAAAAGTTTGGACTAGTATTGTCCAGAAAAGTACCAGCACTAGCAATCTGAATAAACACTAAACAAATATATGAACTAAAGCAAAAGGGCAAATGGGTCTTAAAAAGTGGCAAATCCAGAGGAAATCCGTGTGCTTCATGTTGTAGGATAATTACCACCACATTTCCATCGTGCTTTAACCATTACTTCAAGGTTTGTAAATAAAGGCTCAGAGTTCAGCAGAGAAAATGAAGAAGTTCAAAGTGAAGGAAAAATTCCATCCCCCTTGACTAACTCTCATATGGTTCTCAGATTTCAAATCTGGGACCCTTCAGAAGAAGCAGTCCAGCCGACTGTAGCTGCCATGAGAGTATAAAGTGAAAGACGAAACCTCTAAGATAATTAAGGTTTTAATCAGCGCTGAATAGATTTAATTCAACATTTCAAACTATGCTTTGAAGCAAACAAACAATATGGCAGGAAATCTGAGTCTATTACCCTTCTGTCACTAACCACTTATGTGACATTAGACAAGTCATTTAATTTCCTTGGACAAGTCATTTTTCCATGGGCTTTATCAATACAAAAAAAGTGTGTGGCGGGGTGGAGGTTGGGGGGCGGGGAATGATATCTTACTTGCCTACAGCTCTCTCTCTTTTTTTTTTCTTGGAGACTGGCTGGTATTACTTGCCTGCAAATAGGAGGCTGGACCACATGCTCTCTCTTGAGGTCCTTGACAATCAGAGCTCTATGACTCCAAAGAGCTGATGCAAGCAAGGGAGCAGAGGAATAGATTAGACCTCTAAAGTGGTCTTCATGATGAAATTGCCAGTGATCAATTTCAATTTTTTGTTAATTTTTTAAAGTAGCTTTTCTTGCCAGGCTAGACAAATTCAATATACTTAGCTAGGGAATCTAAGACACATATAAGCTATCGCTATTCTAAATCTCCTTTTGGCAAAGTAGTTATCTTAAGATTTAGACCTTAGATGAAATTTCTTCTTGGCCAGGAGGTGGGGGTGGGGGTGGGATTCTTTGATTATTATAATAGAATCCAGCTGGCATAGACATAACGAACCTTCTCCTCTCTACCCAGAGCTAATATAGCACTCAGTCTAGCTGACTATTGCCAGCCCAGGGCTCTGGCTATAATGCTAAATCATGGTGGTTTGATTCATCATTGGCCTGGTATCAATGGCCAGCAAGGATTTCACATCAGTTATTTATTAGAGCTTGGTTACTCATAGCACATTGGGGCATCACAGTCCTGATAAAGTGGACTATCTCATTCCTAAAAGGATGGCATTTTCTTCTGCTAGTACGTGGTCAAGAGTGGTGACTTTAGTTCTGTTTAGTTTAGTCCTGCATCTTATTCTATGCAGAAAGTATGTTGCCTGGTTCTAAGAACCCCCAAATCCTATAACATATATCTTATCAATATGACAACTTCTGTGTCTTCGATTAGAATTACATGGCTACAAAGTGAATTTAGAAGTCATTAACCAATAAGAAATTTTATCCCAGCGTTACATAGCATATGGACAAATTACAAACAGCCTAAATATTTCAAAATTGCAGAATTTTTACAGTGCAACTACAGACAGAAAATTATGCAGTCATTAACAGTTCTGCTGAGGGAACATAATTTAGGGAAGTGTTTAAAATATATTATTAAGTTTTAAAAAAGGATATGAAAATATATACAACGTAATGCCAACCATGTAAGATTAAAGATAGAGGGATGGAGAGAGATATTTGGCATACAGAAAAAGAAAAAAAGCTAGAAGGACATACTCTAAAATGTTACAGTAACAGTTCAACTCTGGGAAATAGGATAGCAATAGTTTAAAATTTTCTTCTTCATCTTTTTCTAAATTCTTGGATTCTCTAGAATGAGATTGCATTATTTTTAGAACTAAAAAACAATCTTTAAAAATGTAGTTTTATCAAAATGAGATGAATTTATTTTATGGAAAATCCCCTAGTATACAGTAAACATATTATTTAAAATGATAAAGGATATCCTACCAGGACAGAAGTCCGAGAGAAGATCATCAGGACCAATATGATGATAAAATACCAAAGCAGGAAGCTCCCTATTGTCCCACAAGAGTCATCCTTGCAACATTCATAATCCTGATTCGGAATGGTAAAACTTAAAGGTATGGGGGGAGGATCCACCTCCCAGAATAAGGAAAAAAGGTCTCCCATGATGGCTCTTGCTTAGAAAATAAAACAAGCTCAGAGGGATGAAGATGACTAGGGACTACTTTACTTCATGACAACTTCCTTGGCAACCTATTATGACACACACTTCAGCAACAGTTATAGGAACTGGCAAAGGTTTCTTGGATTTCTAAGTTTTTACAAGATTTATCCAAATTACTTCCATGAAAGTTTATGGTATTTTCCCCCATACCTCAAATATGATGCATTCTGTCTTGATCTTTCTGTCCTGAAACTTGTATTTTTGTATCTTTAAATTTAAGTGTCTAAGGTTCACACCTACTTTTTTCAGTCACTTTTATATGTATTATATACCATTGTGTATTAACACACAGAGTTCTAATGTATTACAGAATGAATTGGTTCCCCAAAATTAATATGTTGAAGTCTTCACTTCCAATTGGACTGTATTTAAATACAGACCCTTTAAAGAGGTAATTAAGGTTAAATGAGTTCGTAGGTGGAGCTCTAATCCAATACAACTGGTGTACTTAGGAGACACCAGGGACACAGACCCACAGAAAAAAAGGCCATGTGAGGACACAAGAGAAGGTGGCCATCTACAAGCCAAGGAGACGGGCCTCAGGAGAAACCAACCCTGCTGATATCTTGCTCTTGAACTTTCAGCCTCCAAAACTGTGAGAAAATAAATTTCTGTTGTTTAAACTATGCTGTGATATTTGTTATGGCAGCCCTAATGTATCATACCAACTATGATTAGAGTGCAGCATTGTACCATAATGCCAACTGCCTATCAAATTTGCTCGGTAGTGTTCTTTTTTTTTTTTTTTTTTTTTTTAAAAGATGCCCGGTAAGGGGATCTCAACTCTTGGCTTGGTGTTGTCAGCACCACGCTCAGCCAGTGAGCAAACCGGCCATCCCTATATAGGACCCGAACCCGCGGCCTTGGTGTTATCAGCACCGCACTCTACCGAGTGAGCCACAGGCCCGCCCGGTAGTGTTCTTTTTTTTTTTTTTTTTAAAAGATGCCCGGTAAGGGGATCTCAACTCTTGGCTTGGTGTTGTCAGCACCACGCTCAGCCAGTGAGCAAACCGGCCATCCCTATATAGGACCCGAACCCGCGGCCTTGGTGTTATCAGCACCGCACTCTACCGAGTGAGCCACAGGCCGGCCCGGTAGTGTTCTTTTTTAAACGTTGAATAAATGCACAGTAGCTTGTAGTTTACATTAAGAGGGAAAAATATAGATGCGCTTGTTATGAATTACATCAAATGTATACAATTTGTTCTCAGTGAAGAGTCAGACATGGGGGAGATGTACATTTTGATTGTACACTGAACACTTTTACTTAGAACAATTTTCAAGTTAGTTCATCTCTAAATTTAAAATGAGCAAAACAACATTGATGCATAGGCAATCTAAAAATGAGTAAAATCTCACTTAAAAAAAAATCTGTTAGATCTTTAAGCGCACAGCATACCTGAAGATTTTCATTAATATGCAATACCACAAGGAAACTTCATTTTCTTCTATTTTTATACAATCATTTTAGGAAAAATTTTGGTAATATGACAATCCACTAGCTTATTGTGATATGACAATCCACTAGCTTATTGTGACATGGCTTAATGTTTTTATTATGGGGCACACTCCGTAGACGGAACAGGTCCCCAAGCCTTGCTCGTCCTGGCTGTTGGCAGTCTACCTCAGGCAGGTCGCCTCCTCCAGGAAGTCCGCCAGGAGCGTGGCTGGTCTGGACACGCCTGGGGCTCACCGCGACCACCTCACCTGCCCCCTAGCGCACCTGCGGGCATCCCCCAGGCCGAGCTCCTCGGGGCAGCAAGCGGGCAGCTCTCATTTTCTAAGTCCCCGCGCCTGGCTCAGTGGCACACGATAGGCGTTTTTATTTGTTAAATAAAACCAAACTCAATACCCTGATGAACCTTTTCCTCACGATTACCAGTTCTTGCAAAGAATATGCAGGAAAACTAAAGTAATTTTTTATTTAAACCTCAAAACCACTGTCAACTTCAATAAAACAAATTTTGGTGTTTTTTTGTTGTCGTTATTGCTGCAGTCTTACTACATGGATATTTAAGAATTTACATCGAGTCAGAACTCGATATATATATATATCATATACATATATATCATAATGTGTATGATATATATATTTTTTAACACAAGGGAAAGAAATGCTTTGTCATTGCTGATGGTATCTGGATACATTATCACGCACTCTGGTATCCTACTTAATCTGCTTACAAATGTGAGTCCATAAATGCCCTAAGAAAGCTAAAATTGTATTAATATGTACAAAACTCATTGCACTATAGTTATTACTTTTTACTGCGGGTTTAGAAAATGGTCAGAATCCTGATGCTCAGGTTTCTCTCCGCAGCCGCGTGACAGCCACAAACCCGAGAGTCGTTTCCCCGGCAACGCCCCGGGCCCCGTCCTTCCACCCACTCTTCTTCTCGCGAGAAGAGAAGGCCCACTACTTCCGGTAACTGTAGACCCGGTAGCTTGTTTCCTCCGCATTAGCGCTTGGACTCGCGCATGTGCAGTAGGGAGTGGCGCGAGCCAGTGGCTTCCGGCTGGAGAACATGGTGGGTTTTTGGGGTCGTCTTTGTGCTTCCTGGAGGTGGAATCTGCGCGAGCTGTGGGAGTTCCACGCCTGCTAATCTGCGCGGGGTTCAGCCAGGGGAAGATGTGGCTAGGCGTCCCGCCACCCGTAGTGGAAAGGAGGAAAGAAGCAATAGTGATTGCTAAAGTGTGTGCTGAGGAAGCCGGGAAGGGAAGCTCCCTGGACTGGGAGTTTTGACGCGGGAGCTGGGTGGCGGGAAGGGGACTGCTCTGGCTCTGGGAGGCGACTCCCTATAGCTGGAACAAGTTTTCCACTTGTATGCAAGAGTTGAGCCTAGCAAAACAAAGGAAATGTAAATCCCAGTGCGGACGAAAACTGAACGGACCCTTTTCCTCACTCTCCCTGTTATCCCCTTCACACCGTACCCGCCCTTCTAAACTAAAATTCTTATATTTTACGAGCACACAAAAAAGAGACCCCTGGCTTCCAGCAGTCCGAGTGCAGAGTTGTTTACGTTCGTAGATAGTAATGGCTTCTGCATGAGATTGTAGGAGGAGAGTCTATGATGGATAGCATGTATGGAACATTTTCTCCAAAACTGAGTATTTTGAATTTCTTAAGTTAGCCTTTGGCCTAGTCCTTGTGACATACTCCAAAGACAAAATCCGGAGTATTTGCAGACGAAGTCATCAACCCTTAAATTACAAAATAAGACGTCTGTATGTATGGGAAGTATTGAATTGTTCTCTGAAAGAACCAGCCAGTTCTCTGTTGATTACACCATGGTGATAAAGAAGGTGTAATTTAGGATTCCCTTTTCATATAATAATATTAAAATGGAAAAAGTTTTGGTAAGACATTTTAAAGATTAGGGAAAGTGTGTACAATTTTTATTTCATAAAGGACTCAAAAGTTTGGTTTCTTACATAGAAAAGAAAATTAATTCTTTTAATCAATTCCTGTGCTTTTTGTTTTTTAATAGATGCAAGGGGAGCCAAACCCTAGTGCTTCCCTTATTGACAGAACCATCAAGATGAGAAAAGAAACAGAAGCTAGGAAAGTGGTTTTAGCCTGGGGACTCCTAAATGTATCTATGGCTGGAATGATATATACTGAAATGTAAGTTAATCAGCTAAAAAAGAGGAAAATTTAAGAAGCCAGTGGCTGGTTCCATTCCACAGGTTTTTGTGTTTGTTTTGATTTTTGGTGTTTTTTTAAAGTTGTTGAAAAGCTTTTTTAATTTTTTCAGGACTGGAAAGTTGATTAGTTCGTATTATAATGTGACATACTGGCCTCTCTGGTATATTGGTAAGTAATTAATTTTCACTATAATTGACATTTACTGCCAATGAAAAACTGCTTTCAGGTTTAATTCAGCTTAGTGTTTATTCCTTTGTTCAACAAATATTTGAGTGCCTACCACGTTCCCCAAACTGGGAATACAGCAGGAGTGGAACAAGGTAAAACCCTGCCCTTACGGTAGGGACATTTCTAGTACAGGAGACAGTCATATTAATAAACAGTACAATTTCAGGTAATTAGGACTTCTGTGAAGAAAAATAAAGTTTGAGGGGATGAGATCTGTATTTGTTACTCTCCTGAAATACCTTCTCTATGTCTCTACTTTTTCACCATTTAAGATCAGCCCAGTTTTCTGCTCCATGGATGCCTTCCTTAATTTCCTTATTCCTTCCTCTCCTCTATCTGCTCTTTCATAGTCCATGGGTATAAAGAATCCTCATGGATGTCAAAGTAAATTCCATAGTCTATACACAGTAATCTAAAGTTTGTCATAGGGAGGTGGTGTGGCAAGTGGAAGAGCCAGGGATTTGAAATCTGCTAAGTTAGAATCTTGCCCTCATAAAAGTTAGTTGGCTTCTCAATGACTGTTGATTCATCTTTGAAATGAAGGTGAAAATATTTATTGTACGGATTAGTGATAGTTTAAAATTCACTGGTAAATGCCCTGTACATAATAGACATTCACTAAATGGTAGCTGTTATGAGGAATAAGAAAGTAGTTTTCAATTTTGTTATTGTTAATTTACTAAAGTATGGAGAGTTTTTGTCTCCTCCGCCCCATAAGTGGCCTCCCCGCTTTTTACTTTTATCTTTTTTTTTAATTTTATTTTTTGGCGGCTGGCCAGTATGGGGATCCAAACCCTTGACCTTGAAGTTATAACACCACTCTGACGAACTGAGCTAACTGACCAACCGCCTGACCTTTTTTTTTCCAAATAAATTGTTGTTCTCTTCCAGAGCTTGCCCTTGCATCTCTCTTCAGCCTTAATGCCTTATTTGATTTTTGGAAATATTTCAAATACACGGTGGCACCAACAAGTCTGGTTGTTAGCCCTGGACAACAAACACTTTTAGGGTTGAAAACAGCTGGTAAGTGTTTTATATGTCTTGAAAAGGTGGGGGAAAGGTTGGCAA